CTCCCCCACAAGCTCGGGCTCCTTCCCCCCCAGTGAGGTGACGTTCCACGTCCCAAGAGCCAGATGTTGGGTGTGTGGACTGGGTCGTCGAGGTCTCCGCCTTCGACCGCTGCCCAGTCCTCGCTGCACCACGCCACCACGGACCCCTCTGCAGGTGGTGGGCCCACAGGAGGGACTGCCCACGTCATCCCTTCGGGCTGAGCCCGGCCGGGCCCCGTGGGCTAAGGCCCGGCCACCAGGCGCTCGCTTGCGAGCCCCAACCCCAGGCCTGGCTCCAGGGTGGGGCCCCGGCTGCGCTATGCCGGGCGACGTCACGGTTTTCGTTGTCGTGCTCTTCACACACTATCATTGGGGATAGAAATACCTACATTGGATTCTGCATTTTATAATACCAACAAAATAAGCAAGACGTTCTTTGTTTGTTGCTTGATTATTTAAATAAAAAAGTTGATTTCTTGGTATTACTGACACATTTTGAATACAGAATTTGGCCCAGGTTTGAATTTTCCAAAAGTAAATGTTTTTGTGATTGTTTTGCTTCCATTGAGCCATATCCATGTTTCAAAGTCCAAGCTGCAAAACTGAGGGATAGGGCATTTTATTTCCTATTATCAGTAAATTATCAAGTGTTATTATCGAGCTGTTGAGGCTGTGTTGGACACAAGTGCTCCTCTCTTTTTGCAGAAAGTTTTGCCTCAAAATAATGTGACATTTCCTCTCTGCTGCTCCGTGCGTTTTCACTGGATGATTTTACAACCAGCTATAAAGATGAAATGTGGTGAGCTGATGGACGGTTTCTCTGCGAGCCCTCAGCAATAATCACCGCAGAGAAAACACCAGGACAGGTTCTGAATGCTTCCTGGTGTTGAATACAGAAATTTATCACTTATTACATTTAATTGGTGCCAGAAAATAGAGAAAAAGACAAGATTGAGAGACAAAGAACTGAGGAGTCAGGAATATAAGCTTATGCTTTTTCCTTCTTCCTTTTGAACAATATTAATGGTTTCAGATCTATTTTGTTTGTGTTACTGAATACAAAAAGGCACACGTTTCAAAATAAACACATTAAATTATGGATAAGAATGTGCTCCATGTGTACAGCAGTACAACAAAACATGTCCCCAAAGTTCAACAATCCTGATCCAGAGATGTGGGACATGTCGCTGCACTGTTGAATGAAAAGACAATCCACCAAATCATGACTCAGGCTTTCAGCACAATAACTATTAATTTTATATTTTTTATAATTTGCAGCTGTGGATAGTCAAACAAAATGGTAAACAAAATACAATTTCATCTTCAATATGACTGGAGTTTTGAAGGTTGCAAATAAACTATTGGAACATCATTTGAATAGCACCTGCATGTTTAATAAATGGGCACATTTGCAAGGCAAACTGATGCAAAATAATTCAAGGCCACCCAGCTCCAGAGACAGCCTCCTCCTGTGATGTGATTAAGGGCTGCTCTGATGATCTTCTGCTAAACAACCTCACACCCACAGCGCTGTTGGCTGTCCCCATCAACACATACTTGACCCAGAGCAGAACATGCCAAACATGCCTTTCTTCTCACAATGGGACGGCCCAGGCTCTGCTTTCACCTCAGATAATTGTTTTAGAACGGAAGTCACAATATCACAATGTAGTGATCAAAGTAACTCAAAGGAAATACATTCACAATAGTCACAATACATTACATTGACACTGCAAACAAAGAAACAGAAACATCCTTTATTACATCAAATTAAATCAAACTCTGTATTCTCTATACTGTCTCTAATTCACGCCACTTGCCTCTTTCCCACTTTACCAAACCAGGTCAAATGGTTCAAAATGTCCCAGAAAATGGCACCAAACCAGTCCATCTACTTGTTTAGTGCAAACACTTAACCTTTACTTTATTTTTTTTAAAGTCTACAAGTCACCTCAGGAAATACTGATTTTCAAGTTGCAACAATCTCAAACTAAATGTATTATGCTATCCGTGACAAATCTAGCAAACAGCAACTATATTTCAATGCAGATAAAATCAGACCGTCTATTGAACTGAAATTACATTTTGTTGTCTAGTTTTAGGGGATATTTGCAGAAAGATAGAGAGAGGAAGATCTTTGTCCAAACAATAAACTTGTTGATTAATATCACCACGGCAGATCGTGTTACGTATTGTGTAAGCTTTCGTATCCCTGCCTGAAGCTTCCGCACAAATCATTGCGATTCTTATCCAGTTGCAGTAAAACAAACTAGTCTGGTGCCACTTCAAAGCATTGCTGCATTATGACTTTACAACCATGACTTAGAGAATGTTTCAGCAGCTTTAGATTCAAGAGGAAGGGGCGATATGAGGGGAACTGTGCAAAACCCTGAGCATAAACAAGACAATCCTGATATGTTAGGGCTGAGAGTTGGATTATTTAACCCTAATTGTAATTCATGGATTCATTGTTTTAGGAAGCATAAATACAGCCGGATGAAGGGTAAGACTATAACCACTATATATTCGATTAGATTCAACTTTATTGTCATTACAAAGTCAGAACAATGCAACAAAATACATTTCAGCATCTAACCCGTAGCGCAAGTATGGGATAATATTTACAACACGATATATATTTGTATATATGTGAGACTGTACAGAGCTGCTGAAGTGTTGTCAAAAGTATAGAAAATCAGATATTCAATGCTAAAGCTAGTATTGAGACTAAATACTCATTTGGTCCATAGACTGTTCATGTATTGGCAATGCTAACCCCCTAGCTCAATGAAGCTCAACAGGGAAGTGCTCATGCATGAAGTTTTGCTCTGACTCTCTCTGGCCCGTATTGACAAACAAACTCCGCTCAGTAACTGCTCGGGCTTAGTGCTCTCTGTGATGTTTTTGTTTTGATATGGTCTTTGTAAATCCAGATATGAACCATAAGGATTGACCAATCAGATGTCTTAATTTGTGGAGAATCTCCAGGTAAGGCAACCATAAAAGCAACACGTCTGCCCCTGTCAGACTGGTAACCCTGTCGGAACAAACGCCCACAAAAAGGAAATTGGATCGAAAAGACTGTAGTGGCCTCTGCACTCGATAACACCTTGTTATGGAAAAGTAGTTGTGAGTTTAAAAATACAATTTATTGGCTCAAAAGAGCATTTACAAATAGTAACATTTCCCTTTTTTTTCTAGTATTGAATTAAATTGTGAAACTATCGATTAATATTGTGACACTATATATTATACATAATTATACCGTGTGTAACTTTACAAACACACAATAAGTAACATTTCACAGTATTTTCTGTCAGGTCAAGTGTTACTGCTTACACTATATTAATTTTCAAATCAAAAAATAGCAATACAACTGTAAATGCACATTACATAATTGAACCCTATTGACAAAGCTATAGTGTCTCTTTAAAATGTTTGGAGAGTTGGAACGGAACACGTATCTTGGTGGTCAACTTCTTCACGCCCAGGTCTTATTTCCAGGATTAGTGTTTTGAGATTGTCTTTGAGCTGCACTCCAGACTTGTTTGTGTCCTTGCTTTAATAAAGCTAAATGTGCTGTGAAGGTACTCTCCAATACAATATTCAGTGTGTGCCCGGCTGCATCTATTGTATACAAATATGATGAAAAATAACGACCTGTGGATGAATAATTCACAAGTCAAGCACCCTGTTTGCAGAGGTCACGGCTCAATGCAGCGTGGGAAGAATGTGCCTCGTAATGCACGGCGTCTACTTATTGCTTTGCATAGTTCTGCATAACTTATGTGAGATTGGACATGCTTCCTTACGCTGGTTTTAAATCTAAGGGGTGGGGTCAAGGGGAAGAGTCAAGGGTTTAGGAGTCCTCAAGTAACAATATTAATGCATTTTATTTATCACACACAACTTGAGTCTCAAAGAATAATTATACGAATGACCGGTTTCTCCTGAAGTCACTTACAGTATGTCCACACTTAGTAATGGCCTTCATGACTTATAACTTTACAAAGAAAGAGGAGCGTGTTGTTTTGAGATGCAAAATAAGGTATACGCTTAATTCTTGATAGATTAATAGATTACTTATAATGCTCAGGGGAATTTGTAACACATATAGTTATCAGAGTTAAAGAGGATAACAAAATGCATTCAATCCTTCTGAAGGAATATGAACTGGAAATTACAGATGGTAAAATGTATTATTGTATGAATTGTATAATTTTGATGTTAATGATACTGTATTACATTATTTGTCCACTGTAATTGTCCACTGGAAACTGTATCAAGGTGCTCTTGATTGATTCACAGATCAGAAAATCAAACCGTTCAAACCAGTGGGGGAGGGTCCCGGCTCAAAAGTGGCCAAAATGACGTGCGCTGACATGCTTGCAATACCACCCCGGGCCGATGGGGCTGGACCCAGAATAAGAATCAGCCAATGCTAACATATAGCATCTTCTTACCTCTCGAAAACGTCTTTACAGGATGGTCCAAAAGTTGGCTCTTGGCCCAAAGCTCCGTTCCACATGTGTGTCAATGCTGAGGGGGGTGAATTTTTTTGGACCACTCTGGTTTACTCGTTTTTGAAGACACTTGTTTAAATGAATGGGGTTCGTGCCGGCTGACGCATGCGCAGATGCGTTTTTTCACATTTTCTAGCCCCCGCGGCCATTTTGAATCACTCCATGAAAGCCCAATTTTCGGCACATTAGTTAGAACGGCGCAGATAGGCATGACTGCGTCCGTTAATATATACAGTCTATGGTTCAAACGTAGGAAATGCAACAATAACAAACACATAGGAGCCGCTGGTCCATATGGTGACCAATGTTCCTAAATGTTAATAAATGTCCATAAATAAAAAATAATAATAAAATAAACAGCCCTACCTTTAATAACATACAAATAATAAACACAGCTAAACAAAAAAGCTGGATGATTTTGTGTCCTTTTAGCGATGACATATGTGGCAGTATCCCAGACACCTGGTTGTAACTAGGACAGTGCATCACTGCTCTCACCTGCAGTAGTTATGGCTGCCCAGGCCGCCCTCGCCGTTGGGGTATTTGAGCGTGTTGTACGGGTGCTGAAACGTCTCATTCCAAAACAAACACGGTTTACCCCCATGCAGGCTGGTCACATTCTGGAACCCTCTGTAGTCCTCCCCGTTTGCCGTGTAGCACTCTGCGAAGAACAAAAAGAAGAAAGATGTTAGATTAAAACTTGGCATCTCACAAAAAGAACATTTAATAAGTTATAAATCAAAAGCTTGGATGGAGCCTTGAGCGTGGCGTATAAAAACCAACCACATGTGTGACCCGCTTTATTGAAAATCTGTTTTTTGTGTTTATAGCAGAATTCATAAACGAGACAGCAGGAATCATTGCTTTTTCAGCCCGGGATCATCTTCGCATCAGCCAAAAACGTGTTAAAGCCTGATCCATTATAGTCTCGTTTTAATGAACGTGATCACATGCATTGAAGACACGGCCTCACAGATACGACAGCAACACAAACACAGCTCGGCTTTCCACTTTCCAGGAAGCGTATGACAACCATATGGCCGCAGTGAGAAAGACCGCGAGTATGGTTCCCAAGGCAAAACAATGGCTGGTGCAGGACTTTTATGCCCCGGGAGAACGCTCTGATAAACAATGTGTGATGGGAGTGCGATGACGAGCCATCAGAGCGCCGCAGCCTCAGGGGAAAGCCTCGAGCCAGACCAAAACCACAGACCAATTCAGCGTTTGATTGTATTATGAGAATAAATATTAATCAACAAGTGACAGCTATGATTATAGACCACGACATGTTTACGGAACTGTCGACAGGGAGGTGAACACTTTGGGGTTCTCGGAGTATTTAAGAAAACAATCATTCTCCTCCGACTCGCGTTTGATAGTTTTTCAATATGCAATTACAAGTTTGAATGAAATGGCTTTTTTTTACAAGCAGAGATCATAATTATGGTTTTAAAATATTGCTGAAAAAAGCTGCCACATCCAGTCAACATTTCAAAAGTTCGGAGCAAGGGTTCTAACACTTACTATAGATTGACATATGGTATACAATGTATGTCCAGACGATGTATTAGTGGGCTTAAAAGGCAATGTGGTAAAACTAGAACCTTGTCAGCGTAAAATCACGTCTTTTGTCTTACCTGTTTACTGTGCATTTGTCCCGTCTGCAAGCTTGTGTATTTTGTTTTACTATTGTATGGTAAGTGGGATGTTATGTGTTGTACTGTATGTTATATTGTGAGTGTATATTTGCTGACTGTGTTGTCTGTAATGAAAAAAAATCCCAAAAAATTCTAAAAAAAAGAAAAACATTTTGGTACGTTTCTTACTGGCATAAAAAAGAATAATAATAATGCATTGGTTTTATATAGCACTTTTCAGGACACACAAAGACAATATCAAAATAAATCTTCAAAATCTGTAGGAAAAAAAACTAAGCAATGAAACAGAAATGAAGCAGTTTTCCCATTGACTTTATTAGACCACAAACAGAACATTTACGTATAGATTAATTTGAAGGATTTCTTTGAGTGATATAATTTAGGTGGAGACGCATCGACCGATTCATTGAATAAACAACTGACAGCCCTAATATGGTCAGTGCCTTTTCCAGTTTGTTGTTGGGAGGAATTTTAGGGGTTGTTTTTTTGCCAAATTTTTTTAAAACGTTAAGAGAAATGGCTACCCTTTTCCTTTCAATCAAACCTGAGCTCGACAAAAACAAGACTTGTTCGGCCCTTCTCCTCGGGGTCCTGTCGCTGTGGACGTGATGAGCCAATGGCCGGAGCCTCTCATCAAACCGCTCCGTCAGGCCCAGTATGAGGTAATGCATATGACAATCATTACAAGTCTCAGTGAAACAGCTGTGCTCCACTTTTTCTTTTTCTTTTCTTTTTTTTAACTTTAATGACCTTTGCAGCCCGAGGAGTTGCTCCGTTTTGTCACACTGCACTGGTATTGAAGAAAACACACAGTGATTGCTTCAGAATCTTATTATTTATTAATTCCGAGTTTTGCGGTCGTTCTGTTATTGTTGCTTATCAACTATTTATTGACAAAGGGGAGTTCAACAGCTTCCATGAACCTCTCTCTGTAAAGACAAGGGTTGCACTGATGCTGATGTCAAATATATAGGTGCTGATCTGAATGGGAAGCTGTTCCATGAGAATGTTTAAATTAATATTCCGATTTGGCTCTCTCCAAGTATGTAATGTGTGATATTTACTTCAGTTGCATATTTGAAAACATGTAGTTACTTGAACTCATTTTGTAATACGTAATGCAAGGAAAATAGTCATCAAGTACCAGATTGAAAAGTACATTAAGAAAAATAAAGGTGTCAGTTTTTGCCCCAATATCATCAGCGAGTCTGGTGAAGGTGCATGGATTTTGAAACCAAGAAAAGCTTCTTAGAAAACTCACACCGTATAAGATCAAAAACTCTGTAGTGCGACTGTGCGAGACTGTATTGAAGTATTGAAACCTGTATGTATGTTAAAAAAGGTTAGGTACTTTACAACAATTAAACATTTGTATATCTGCTTCTTGTGCACGTTCTCAGGACACCATCTTGTGAAAGCGTACATGTAAAGTGAGATTAAAACACAGCTTTCTTTCTGTTTACATTTTTTCCTGGCCGCAGCCATAGTAACAGAAAAAGCTGTTATTGAGGATTTGGCAGCGACACAAGCGGCACAATCATGAGTCACAGCTCCCCAAAGCCACCATGATGCTTTGTGCCCAATCAGAGAGGATAACATCAGGCAGAGGGGCCCTCACTGCTCTCTTCTTCTGCTCTGAGGAAACTTTATTGTGGAGAGTAATAATGTTGTCATGATACTAAAACTGAAACTGACTCCTGTTCTGAGGTAAAGACTCAATACATAATATGTATGTATGTATCATAGCTGAATGTAGTATAATCTAATTTATATAAAATAAATACTCTGTAGACTGTTATTTTCAGACAGTTATTCAAGGAATCATTTTACCATTCACTAGTCCTGATTCTCAAGTAGCTTCACTTTTGTCTTTAATTCTGCATATAACTTTTTGTCTGGGAGTGATTTGATTCAGAATTGATACACGTTCAACTGTATACCTACTTTTGATGCAAGTGTAAGTATAAAAACTCATAGATTTTGTGAGTGTAAGGATTAGGCTGTGCCACCACATGGTCTGCTTGGAACAGCTTGGCTTGGCTCTCATCCCTGCACCACCGCGGCCTATTGCTCTTTCCAAAACGAGATGGTAAATATGGCAGTGACTTGCTACCAGGAGGGGAGAAGTGCGTTCGATGTGGTTTCAAGGCACCATTTGCTTGTGGTGACGAATGGGAAGTAGCAGATCTGTTTGGACTTAGAGGTACACTGAAGTCGACATGAAGATAAATGGGATGATTAATGAGCCCTGAGGAATTCTGCACATCTATTAAGCTATTAGGGTAAATGGAAAAGGCAGGTTCTGCTCTGAAGCAGTGTTGATGTCATGGGACAGTAGTATCTAGGCATCTAGACTTTAATGTACACAGCAATGCTAGTTGTGGGTTTCCTTTGGATATGGAGCTAAAGAGCTGAAGATGTTGGTGTTTGCTTTGATGTTCAAGCCAGATCAAACTCCTTTCAACAACTTTTATAGTACTCTCAAAATATTACAGAGATTTGTTAAGCGTCTTTTAATAAAAATATTTTTTTTTAGATAATCATAATTATAGTATTTGCCATGCGACAGGACAATTAAGAATGAAGTTTTAGTTGTTTTCGTCCAAAATGAGTAAGTAGACACTAAGGCCCTGTCCACACGAAGTCAAGCTCAGGCCTAAACGCAAAAATACTTTATCAATCCAGTGTATCGTCCATACGAGGCCGGCGTTTTGGGGGGGTGTAAACGAACATTTTTGAAACTAGGTCCCAGAGTGGAAAGATTTCAAAACTCCGTATATGCCGCTCCGTGGTTACTGCCTCTCCGCAATGTATCTGAGACGCTTGCGTCATCGCCCCGCCTCTTGTTAAAGCACGCATGCGCCGCACTCAGAAAATAATGACAACAACAATGTAGCTTGTTGGTTTTGTAATCCAGTGTGACCCGAAGCAACAGTTCAACCTCATCGTCCGTCCATACTAATGTAGTACCAGCTCGCCCACTCGCCATGTTGTCTGTTTACAAAATTCCGCGCATGCCCACGGAAGTTTGGGCTTGATCCCGTCATTGCGTCACAGCGTCACCAACAGGTCTGGCATAGTTTCACAGCGTTTTCAGGCGTATTGACTACATTCATATGGACGCACACATTTACTGAGCTAACTCCGTGTTTACAGAAAAAGTTTCTGAAATTATAAGCGTTTTGTCTTCGTGTGGATATAGCCTTAGAGATAGTAGACTAAAATTGATTATAAGACAAGAATAGACATATATTATAAGAGATTGAAGATAATAAAGTTGCACACAGAAAAAACATTGTCAGATAAAATAAAACCCTTTTTGAAGCCATAGAAGGCCACTTTTGACCATTCACAGAAATCGCATTGTGTTAATTTCTGGCAAACTCGTGGACAGCTTTCTTGTGGCTAGCAGTTGTAATTTGTTGCTTATTTGTCCTTCAGCAGAACAATTAAAAAAACAAAATTGGAGCATGACTATTTTGGCTTCACTCTCCCTTCCAAACACACCCAGCATCCGCGCTCGAATTGTCACCAAGCAACAGTTGCACCCTCGTCACACAGGCCGAGACTTTCTTGTGGTTTCATCATGGGCCGTGATGAGAACCAGAGCTAACCACTGCATGAAAGATGGGGGAAAAAACTGGGGAAAAAATCCTATAAAATACATGCACATCTACAAATAGAAAAAGTCCGGGAAAACGGGAAGAAGAGGACTCGCCCTCAACCAAATCCTGTACCACCCCAGCAACGAGAGCACAAAAAAAAAGGAAAAAGACAGAGTGAAGTATAGCTAATTGGTCTGTTATTATATTTGCTGGGATTTGTTGCTAATCGCTTCCACATTGTATCTTCAAATGGGAAAGTGCATGTGGGGGGTGGGGGTCAGTCATGTGATCTGAAGGACACAAACAAACTCCATAGAATTGAAGTTGTGTGAATGCATCGCAGGGTCACATGCACACTGCACTATTTGTTGCGAGGGATGAAAAGCAGATAATTACAG